ATTCTATTCTGAAAACAGCTTTGTTTTGGAAGAATTGTATCTGAATATTTTGCCATATATAATAAGTTTGAGGGCTTTTCTAAACCACGCATAAAAGAATGCATACACAATAGGATTACATGCTGAATTTGAAAAACCAATCCAGCCAAAGAAATCAAACCATTGCAGTGGGCTACTCAAACCATGATTTATGTCAGCAATGCTATAGATTAGAAGCGGTGCCCAAGACACTAGATATGCTCCCATAACAATGGCCAATGTTTTAGTGGCTTTTCTCTCTGCCTTACTAATGCTTGACTGCCCTTTTGACGTATTCATCTGAGAAAGTGTGTTGTGTATTGAACGTGATTGTCTCTGTGCTACAAGATAAATTTTCAAATATATGCTAAGCATGACAATGGTAGGGATGTACAAAGAGAACACTGACAAAATCAAAGCTGTTATAGGTCCTAAAACCACCATACATCCACTCTCACATATAACATCACTGTAATCTTCAAGGCCACGATTACTGAACTCTAGAAAAATCACCCCAAATCCCACAGCAGCAGAAACACTCCAACAAACAGCAATCATGAACAGAGTAGCACGAGTCGTCATTTTACTGTGGTACTGCAGGGGGTGACATACTGCATAATATCTGTCAATTGAGATGAATGTAAGATTTAAAACAGAAGCACAGCACAACATAATGTTAAGGCTGCTGTGTATTTTAAAGAATGTAGTCCCAAAATACCAGCAAGTCTCCATGGTGCGTATCATGCAAGGGGGCATCACAAGCCCTCCTACAAGCAGGTCAGCTACAGCCAGAGAGAGAATCAGATAGTTAGTTGGTGTGTGCAGCTGCTTGAAATGAGTTATGGCTATGATCACCAGAAGATTTCCAAGTAATGTAAGAAGTACAATGACCCCAAGAATGAGATAAATTACAAATCTCACAGCCAGTGGATAGAAAAACGTCTGACATGAACTAGGATGACGTTCATAACAAGAAGAATTTCTTAAGCTCCCATTTTGGAGTAGGTTGTTCTGTAAGTCAATCATTTCAGGTGCGCTTTAACCTCTGTGGACAGAAATAGAATAATAAAAGACAAAATTCTCATTATTATGGTGAGAAATTAATATCCTTGTAGATTTCATCCTAATATATCATAGCAATATAACTCTGAAAAAGTGTTATGATATTTTAAAACATTAATAGAATATTTAGCAGATATTATATTTTCATTCTTCATCCTTTTGTGCAAGCACATTACAAAAATATTAGAGACAAATATTAGTAAGTCTGACAACATATGACATTCAAACCTAGAAGCATCTGTCTCCACATGAGGGCAAAACTCCACAGACCAGGGAGCAGCTTTCATTTATACTCTTAGTGACGTGTACACCTTCCCACTAAAACACTTCTCTGTGCTGCACCCTTGATACTTTTCCTGATGATCAACCAATCTCTAACTGTCCTCATGAGAAACATCATTACATCATGCAACAAAGGACACTGGATTCAATACACACAGGCATTAACTGGCAGCCCAGAATATCTTACCTACTAAGGGATGATCCTCAATATTCAGGATTTTAGAGCAAAAAGCTAAACTGGAGACATCTCTAAAGAAATGTGCTGTTTATTGAATTTTTATTTGATTTTTTATTTATGTTGTATGAGTTGTTTACTGTTCAGACAGTGTGGACTATAATTAAACTAAATATAAATTAACATCCAATTGAATTTTTAGGAAAAATATGCATGTATGTGTATGTTTTGAGGAAGATTTTTAGTAGAAAATATACAGTAAAACTGTAGCTAGATCTAATGTTTTACACTTCTGCTTCAACTTACTCAGTAAATGACAAGGCTCTCCTTATGGAATCAAGCATACTAAAGCAGGATAAAACATACGAATTTCCCAGAGTTCGGAAAGAATTACTGCGTTAGCCAACATCCTCATATGCAGCTCTAAATATACAAACATACTGGGCTGGATCAGTTGCCTGACCAATTACAACTAGATTATATATGTTTGTTACTAGCTTAAAGAAACTGGATTAAAGATTACAACTTTTTGACAAGCAAAATCATTCCAACCTCAACTAAAGTTTAAGTAACTTCAAAAGCTTAATGCAGCTCACTGTGCTGTGTTTGTTTCAAGCACTGTAAGAGCACACAGAGCACAGAGCACTACCACATCATGTCTCTGGTGCTGGTCGATTCACAGGAAGAAAATGACTTAATATTTTGCCTTTTATTTTGCAACTTAAAAAAAAATTGGCCAAGTATGCACACAGCCTGTGTAGGTATAAACCAGAGCTTGTACACTTGGCTCAGGCCCCCCACCACAACCAGGAGCTACTTCCTCTTCTACACATTGACTAAGCTGTTGGCGATCGTCTTGAGCTCTGCTCTTTCTGCCTCAACAGCGGCTGCTTGAAAGCTGGCCAGTGCAGCGAGCTGCATGCGCTATGCTCAACTCCTCCGGCAGCAGTGTGTTCTGGAAGTGCTCCAGCACCAACTCCTCCTGTGCAAACTCCTCGAACGCTGAGTATGCCTGTCGAACCGTCTTGCTCAACTCTGCTGCCAGTACCCTCATCTACTGTCTCTTTTAGCATCCACCTCTTTAGGACCAGCTGCCTGGCTGACCACACTACCAGCCCCCGCTGGAGGGATGTAATCAACGCTGCTAGGTTGTCATGTTGTTTCAGTTGCAGATCCACAAGCACCTTTAGTGCTTTCCCATCCAGTGCCAGCTGCGTCGTGGTGACGGCCGCTGTCTATTTAATGCCGGGTGACCACTTTCAGCTGTGCTAATTTTGTGCTGTTTCCTTCGTCGTCTTCCCCAGCCAGCTGTCTTGCTCTCATCTGCCTGGACCCAGATGAGTGGAGAGGGGAACTAACTCACGAAGAGGGAAATGATCACCAGAATATTTCCAAGTAATGTATGAAGTACAATGACACCAAGAATGAGATAAATTACAAATCTCACAGCCAGTGGAGTTAAACCTGAATTAAAAAGACGTTCATAACAAAAACAATCTTCCCTATGCTCCCAGTATCATTATTTAAGTAAAAAATAATATATTATTATAGATTTTACCATTACATTTCATTGCAATATACATCTGAAAAATGTTTTGTATTGCAAATTTTAGAACATTAATGTAATATTTAACAGATATTACATTTTCATTCTTTATTCTTTTGTGCAAAGTCATAATTCACACATTACAAACAAATTAGAGATAAATATGAGTGAGTCTTACTATTGTCATATGGCATTAAAAGCTTGAAGCATAATGATATCTATAAGGCCTAATCTCTGCCTGCACATAAGGGCAAAACCCCACAGACAAGGGAGCTGCTTTTATTTATACTTTTACTGACGTGTTCACCTTTAACTCTTCTCCATGCTGCACCCTTGAAATTCTTCTTAATGATCAACTAATCTCTAACTGTTCTCATTAGAAATATTATTATTATTATTATTTCTTAATCATCCATGCAAGAAGAACACTGAATGGAATGTACAATGACATTAATTGGCAGCCTAATCTACAAATGGATAATCTTCAGTATTAAAGGACTCAGATTGAGGGCATAAAGCTCAACTGAAACATCCCTAAAGAACTCTGCTGTTCAACGATTTTCTTATTGGAATTTTCACTGAATTTTATGGGTTGTTTATTGTTCAGATCAGACAATGTGGACTGTAATTAAATGCAACTGAATATCCAACAGAAACATTGCAAAAAGGCTGTGTGATTACATGCTTAAATCTGTTTGTTCTGAGGACGACAGTAGGTAGAAAATGACAGTGAAACTGTATCTAGATCTAGTGTTTTACACTTCTGCTTCACCTTACTCAGAAACTGACAAGGTCTTCTTCATGGAGCGAAGCGTACTAAAGCAGGATAAACATAAAAACCTGACAGGTAGTTCCCAGGAGAGAATTACTGCGTTAACCAACATTTTCATATGCAGCTCTAAATGCACGAACACACTGGGATGGATCAGCTGCCTGACCAAGTACAACTGGATTAAATATGATTGCTATTATCTTAAAGAAACCAGATTAAAGATGACAGCTTTCTGAAAAGCAACTTCCAAAACTAATCCAACTCCCTGTGATGTGTTTAAATCACTGCATATAAAAATTTAAAATATCTCAGAGCACAAAATCCTAAAACATCATGTCTCTGCTGAATGCTGAATGATCCAGATGGAAAAAAGACTTAGTATTTTGTCTTTTAATATGAAACTCAAAGTTTGGCTTTACGTAGGCAGGTGACACCATCTAAAAACCAAGGCAACAAGAAATGGAGTACATTTTTTTTTCTATAAACAGAAACAACTTCTAAAATATCACTTATTATTATCATCACCTGCAAAATCCATATACCATTTATGTTAAAAATATTGTTCTGATGTTCATGTGATCAGTTATCTGTTGGCGGATCTTCCGTTGTTAGTCAAAACAGTCAAACCAAAACAAGGGTTTTAAATAGATTATACTTCTTTCTTTCTTATTTAATTTCTTGTAGACATGTAGACATATGTAAGACAGATGTACTGACAAGCTAAAAATACTACATATAAAGTGGTTGCTACTACATTTATCTGTTTTGTACAAGACAAATATCCGTGTAGGTCTATGAGTACATATATAAATTTGAATATATGTATTACTTATCAACTATTCTTTGTCCAACAAATAATAATATACATATATAACAACTGTGTACAAATGTGTCATACATTATTTGGGTGGGAATTACTGTAAGGAAAAAAGGGCAAAAAATGCTTTTTAGGTAAAAAGAAACCCAATAGTGCAGGGGTGTCTACTCCTATCTGTGAAGAGCTTGCGTGGCTACAGGTTTTCATTGTTTGTAATGAAAACCTGCAGCCACACTGGCCCTTTGTGGAAAAGACAGGGCACCCCTGAAATAGTATAAAGGAGGGGGAAATGAAATAAATGAAACGACTGAGCGTGACCAGTCATTATCTATTCTGAAAATAACTCTGTTCTTGACGATTTGTTTCTGAATATTTTGCCATATAGAATAAGTTTGAGAGCTTTTCTAAACCATGCATAGAAGAATGCATACACAAGAGGATTACATGCTGAATTTGAAAAACCAAACCAAGCAAAGAAATCAAACAATTGTACTGGAATGCTCAAACTATAGTAAGTATCAACAATACTGTAGATTATAAATGGTAACCAAGACACTAGAAAAGCTCCCATAACAATGGCTAATGTTTTAGTGGCTTTTCTCTCTGCTTTACTAGCAGTTGCTTGTCCTTTTGACGTATTTATCTGAGAAAGTGTGTTGTGTATTAAACGTGTTTGTCTCTGTGCTACAAGATAGATTTTCAAATATATGCTTAGCATGACAACGGCAGGGATGTACAAAGAGAATGTTGACAATACTACAGCTGTGGTGGGCCCTACAAACATTATACATACCCCCTCACATAAAACATCACTGTAATCATTAATGCCACGAATACTGAGCTCTAGATAAATCACCCCAAATCCCACAGCAGCAGAAACACTCCAACAAACAGCGATCATTAACAGAGCAGTAACATGAGTCATTTTACTGTGGTACTGCAGAGGCTGACATATTGCATAATATCGATCCACAGAGATAAATGTAAGGTTTAAAACAGATGCCGTGCATAAAGTCAGGTTTAGGCTGTTGTGTGTTTTACAGTATAAGCTTCCCAAATACCAGCAAGTCTCCACAGTGCGCAGCATACAAGGGGGCATCACAACCCCTCCTAAAAGCAGGTCAGCTACAGCCAGAGAGAGAGTGAGGTAGTTAGTTGGTGTGTGCAGCTGCCTGAAATGAGTTATGGCTATGATCACCACAAGATTTCCAAATAATGTAAGAAGTATAAGGACACCAAGAAGGACGTAAGTTACAATTCTCACAGCCAGTGGATAGACAAACTTCTGACAGGAGTTAGGATGATGTTCAAAACAAAGAGAAATATTTCCTCTGCTCCCATTTTGGATTAAGAAGTTCTGTAAGTCAATCATTTTAGGTGTGCTTTTCCCACTGTGGAGAGAAATAAAGATGACATTCTCCTCATTTAGATAAGAAATTATTGTTTGTATGTTTACATTTCATACTTATTTTCTATTGCAGGATATCTCTAACATTTTTTAAATCATACATTTAAAAACAATTTCATAGAAAAGTCAACAAATACTACATTTCATTCTGCATTCTTATGTATAAAGTAAAGCCAAAATTAGTGCAATACTAAAAACATTACAGATAAAAATTAGTCTTACCGCAGTCATATGACATAAACAACTTAAAGAATAATGATATCTAATTTCTGGCTGCACATGAGGGCAAAAGCCGCACAGAGACAAGAGCATCTCTCATTTATACTCTTGCTCTCACACAGTTGTGTACACCTTTCCACCAAGACACACCTCCATGCTGCACTTTTCATAACCTCCTTGATCAACCAATCTCTGACTGGCCTCATTAGAAACATTATTATTACCTCCCCATCAGTCACACAAAAACAGACATGGAATACATGCATGCTTTACTCACTGTTCACATACCTACATATGTAATAATTTCTCATAGCCTATGTAATTTAGTACCCTTCTTTTATTATGATGCAACATCTTCAGATGTTGCTCATCTGTAGAGGGGCTACAAGAGATTTCAACAAACGGTCAGATCTGAACCTCTGAGTGAAAGACGCATGGCTAGGGATGCGTGACCGGCTACACTGACCATTTCCCACAGCAGAATATAAAAGCTCAAGTATTATTTCAGTATTTCATTGTATTTCCATATGCTGCACCCTACTTTTGTCATCATAGTGCAAGTTCAAAAATAAGGCACAAAATCAAGGCACACGTGAATGTGGAAAGCACAGTGAAATAAGTATTTAACATGTCAATACATTAAATGTATTTCCAGTGCAGCTATTCATATGAAATTTGGACCAAACATTCACCAAGTTAAACTATTCACATAAAGAGATTAACATTACAATCCATGAAAGTGTAAAATGACACAGAAAGTACATGCTACCTGACATTTATTTAATACTGGATGAAGAAGCCTTTGTTTGAAAAAACAAATCTCTCACAGCATTTAGGTGCGATTTTAGACCAATGACTCCTACACAATCATTAAATCTTGAACATTCCAAGGGGCCCTTTGTAAATTATGATCTCCAGATGCTTCCACAAATGTTCTACTGGCTTTAAGCAGTGCAGTCAGCAGAAACAAATTTTTGGGTAACCCTATGAAAAAGTGGGTAAGCCAACTTAATAGATACCACTTTCAAACATGCTAACATCCCACAATGTTATTACATCAGGCTATAACCTAGTCTTGACAGCAGTGCGGCCATCACCCTGAAGAAATTTAACCTGCACAGAGTTCTGTGCAGCCATCATTGAGTCCATCCTCATATTCATAACCATCTAGTTTGGTTCCTCTACCTTACAGGAACGAGCCAAACTCCAGCGTATAATCAAGGCAGTAGAGAAGATCATTGGATGTAATCTACAACAGCAGGGTAACGAAGTATCAAGACAAAATCACAGCTGACCCCTCTCATCCTGCACATCACTTCTTACAGCTACTACCCTCTGGTCGAAGTTTCAGGGCCATTAAAACCAGCACAACCAGACATGCTGCAAACAGCGTTTTCCCCAGAGCTGTAGTGCTTATTAACCACGCTGGATACGTCACACTTTAAACTTAAACTAAAACAAACAAACCTCCCTCACTGTATTACAGTAACACCTCTGTAACATAACACTTATTTGCACTGACTGTTTAGTATGTTACATGTCACACGTGTGCACTCAAGATTGCTGAAATGTATAAATATGAGGGAAAAAAACACAGCAAACTTAAAAACCTGAAAGTAATCATCTCTCTGCTAAAGTATACTAGTATACAGTGGACAGACCCAAAAAAGACGACATGACCAAGTTCAAAACAGACAGCTGAGGTGTGCAAAGACCAGAAAAAACACCACAAATTATCATAGGTAAAAGCATACTGCTTCAAATTCAAGTGACGTGTAACAACCTTAAGGCTCAAAGCAATGGTGGATAGCAACAGTTACTAAGCAGTGCTTGGAGGGCTGAGAAAATAAGGCAGCAAGTTGGTAGGTTAAACTTCAACACCTCATCCATATGGAAAACAAACATATGGACACAAATTTATATATATATGAAATTACATTCCACAACTAAAATGTCTAAGAACAAACAACATACTGTCTTGAAACACTTTACTGTTTGGAATAGCTTTTGAAATTTATTATTTATTATTTTTCAGTATCATCATTTTGAATATTAACCAATGTACCTTTAACATGAGCAAGGGTTGTAGGTATTCCAGTGTCGAATCTTGGGAAGATCTCCTTAAATTCATAATGTAAAGCATCCTGCAACATATTTGAAGCTGCAACTGTGAAACAGCCAACCAAACGCCATAGCAGGTTACGTGACCTTGAAGTATGACAAACTTTCAAACCACTGATTTCACCAGAAAAATGAACAAGAAAATACAAACCCAATTCCAAAAAAGTTGGGACACTGTGTAAAATGTACATAAATGTAAATAAAAACAGAATGCAATGACTTGCCAATCTCAATAGAACACACAACACATATCAGATGTTGAAAGTGAGACATTTTACCATTTCATGAAAAACATGAACTCTTTTTTAACTTCATGGCAGCAACGCATTTCAAAAAAGTTGGGGCAAAAGCCTGGAAAAGTAGGAGGTTCTGATAAAAATGGAGGAGCAATTTGCAACTAACTCACATGACTGGGTATAAAAAGAGCATTTTAGAGACGCAGAGTCTCCCAGAAGCAAAGATGGGCAGAGGTTCACCAATCTACGAAAAACTGCGTCTAAAAATCGTGAAACAATTTCAGAGAAATGTTCCTCAACATAAAATTGAAAAGACTTTGGCTATCCCACCATCTACATTACGTAATATCATCAAAATTGCACAGTTCAAAAGCCTGCATCTCTGATGGTATGGGGTTGGGGCTGCATTAGTGCATTATTAGGCAGCTTACACATCTGGAAAGGCTCTATCAATGCTGAACAGTATATAGAGGTTTTAGAACAACATGTGTTCCCATCCAGACAGCATCTCTTTCAGGGAAGGCCTTGCATATTTCAGCAAGACAATACTAAACCACATACTGCATCCATCACAACAGCATGGCTTCGCAGAAGACGAGTCCGGGTGCTGAACTGACCTGCCTGCAGTCCAGACCTTTCACCAATAGAAAACATTTGGTGCATCATGAAACGAAAAATCAGGCAAAGAAGACCCAACAGCTAGAATCCTATATTTGACAAGAATGTGACAACATTCCTCTCCCAAAACTCCAGAAATTGGTCTCCTCATTTCCCAAACATTTGTAGACTGTTGTTAAAAGAAGAGGGGATGCTACACAATGGTAGACACGGCCCTGTCCCAACAGGTAAAATGTCTCACTTTCAACATCTGATATGTGTTTTATGTTCTTCTGTGAATAAAACATGGGTCTATGAGATTTGCACATTTTTGCATTCTGTTTTTATTTACATTTATTTACACAGCGTCCCAACTTCTTGGAATTCGGGCTGTACTTATATTTTATATATGCATACAAGAACAAAAATATATTTTTGTTTCATTTTATTTTTTTGTTTAGATATTAAATATTGTGGCATCAGACACACTGGGCTGTATTTAGTGTAAAAATAACATTGCTCTTGCTTTTTGCTGTGTGTAGTTAGGCACTGTGTTCTTAGCTGGTCCGGGACTCTTATTTTGAAGGACTCCGGGGGGTGTAAATTAGCGAGCTTCCATAGCCCAACTGGCTAAGGCAGAAAAACAGTACAGCCTGAGCTAGTCTGTGTGCTGTGTGTCCACTTTGCAGCTGTTTTGAACTGAATTTCCATTAAAGCTAAGTTGTGGGCAACATTTTTAGGTGTCCGAGTGTGTGTTTTCCTCGTCTTCCACTTGAGAGAGCAAGTTCAGTCCCAGAGCAGAGAAGCAGGCTTGTCATGATGATGTCTCTCTGCTGCTGCGTGTATGAGGTAATTAGATCGGTCAACGCTGCACTAACGATGTGCTCACTGCAGATAATAACGCAACAACAATAAAAATATGATTTATCTTGCAGCCCTATTTTGTGTTATGTGGTTTAAAGTGTATAATGTAGTTTTGTAGGACAGCATATTCTGAGAAAAATGTTCCTCCCACAGCATCTTTGAGATTTTATGTTTGGCCAACTGAGTGTCCTGGAGACAAGGTTTATGTGCCTCAAGGTGTCAGAAACCATCTTATGCAGTGAGTTCATACATCACCCAGCTCTGGACATCCCGGTATTCAGCAGACTTTAGGTCTGGTAAGAAATAAACTTTGATGACCCACACTGAAAAGTGATGTGACAAAATCTGTTAATGATTATATTGTCTGCGCACAATCTAAACCCCTAGACAGCTGTCAGCAGGACTCTTAGATTGCCTGTTCCGTGCCATCCCTCGTCCCATATCAGCGTGGATTTCATAACTGACTTGCCCCCATTCCAAAGTAATACCACTATTCTTGTGGTAATTCACAGGTTTTCTAAAGCAGATTGTTTAATCCATTTAATGAAACTGTCTACTGCCATGTAAACAGCAGAAGCCTTGCTTGACTTTGCTTTTAGGCTCTATGGACTTTCTGAGGACTCACAGTTCACAGATGAAATGTTCTCTCCTAAACATTAATACAAGTTTAACCTCTGGACATCACCCCCAATCTAAAGGACAGGTGGAATAACTGAACCAAGAGATGGGGAGATTTTTACACTCCAATTGTAGCAGGTCTCAGATGAACTGGAGTTGATGCCTGTCATGTGCAGAATACACTCAGGACTCCCTACGCAGTTATACCATTGTTATAACAGACAAACTGCAACCTGCTCCTGCTTGCCAAGTCCAAAGGTCAGGCTGTCCATCAGAAACTATACGCTCAAGCTCCCTTCCTGCAAGTTA